AAATAAACTTGTCTGTGAATTGATTGTCGGTGAAATGAATTGTCGGTAAAATGATTGTCGGTGAAATGATACGTATCCTTATAAGCATAGTTCATATTTGTGTTATCTATATTATTGCAATGAGCATTTGGCTTATTTGTGTCCGTCTCTAGAACCAATGTTTACATTAAATTAGACTACATCAACTGTATTTTTTTTAAATACCTAAATAGTAATGTATGAGAACCCATAGCAAAGGGCAATGAATCAAAAGATTTTTTTGAAAAAATTAATTTCTTAAAAGAACTAGAGTAGTGGGCATATAATAATTACAAATTCAAAATTTTTAGCATATTTCTCTTCTTGCTGTGAGGGTCATCATATTTTTTAATTTTTTAATTTTTTTTTTGTCATTTGAAGGACTTTTTAGTGGCAAATTTGAATGATACATATTAGCATGAATACTGCAGATTCTTTACTTAAAACTATCAAAAAAAATATAATAATATTATATGGAATTGGATACAAACATTTAACGTAATATAAAAGATAAATGAAGGCAAAAGTTCGAACTATATAATAAGCTATAATTCTAAACTGAATTCGTTATATGTTAGAGGTCGCGTTAAATTTTTATCGGCTTATAATAGTATTCTAAATATGTAGATTTGGTGAAATTACACTTCTACACCATTGTTATTTACTTGTTGAATCAAATTTATCCATGATATTGGCATGCCACTATTAATACCAAAGGATTTTAAAATTAGCAAAATAATATAAAAATGTTATCAGAAATTTACACAAATGCTTAAATGTTTTATGAACCTTTGTAGTATTGATTTTCTTGTTTCCAAAACATGTAACCTCTTGGCATTCATCATTTAACATATAATTATGGCTACTTAATAACGTATTATAATTAGTATGCATCAGAACAATATCATGACACTCATTCCAAGGCTCTTTCTCTTCATCACTATGGACATCATGGACATAATGCTGTACAGTCCAATTATCATCAAAATTATTCCAAGTTTGGCATGCGACTAAAAAAAGGAAGAGAAGTAAATTGAGGGTTATGTCATCAATTATTCAATGTTATAAAAAAAAAGTTTTTTTCTACCTTCTTGTTGAGAAGTTATTGGGGATTTATAATGATGAGAATGTAATTTTTGTCCAGTACCATTGTTTCTAAGCGTTATTATGTCCCCATAATATACTGGTAACCCTATTTCTTTGTTGCCACCATATACTGGAATTATTCCACTTTTAAAAACTTCTGGCATTATAGTCCATAATTCGTAATCAGTTGGGCGACGCTCCACTGCAAATGCCTTAAGCAGGGTGAAAATTAACATATTTAACGTAAAAAATTACAACATTTAAGATTTGATACCAACCCAATGTTGTTTTGATCCACCAGTATATTTATCCAGCGAACTTGATAATAGCTTACCGGTCTCAACATTACGCAAAGTGATTACTGATCCATACTTAATTACTCGTTTATATTGAAATAGAAAGTTTTGGAGATTTGTAAAAACTTCATTAATATTTTGGGATTCAGCAATTTTTAAGCTAAATGTGTCTGCGAACAATTTACTAGGTAAAATTTTTAATATGGACTGTTTTTGTAACTTAAGATCAACAATTTCAGCATCTGATAGCAATTGTCGTAATCCGATGATAAAATCTTTCACATCAGTTAAATATGTAAATCTTAGATCCAAAAGTTTTTGTTCTGAGCTGATTTTGAAAATACGAAATGAAGGATCAGCTTTAAGGAACTCAAGAAGTTGAGAAAAATTGGTAATGCTATCATTGTTATCTCTATAAATTGAACGACTAATTTTTAAGAGTGCAAGATGAACTAGTTCAGATTCGGTTACCATCTTTCCTTGAAAGGTTGCAACGAATTTAAAATTACGAAGCCATTCTTCTGGATGACAAGATCCATTGTATTCCGGAAAAGACAAAAAGCTCATTTTAAAATAATCTACTATACAGAATAATATTAAAATACTAGAACCGTTAGAATATGTAGTGGTATGCTCTACTAAAGAACTAAAGTTCGCAAATACTTGGAGTAGATATTTCTATAACATTTTTATTGGGGCTTTTGCAGTGATGTAAATACAAAAAAGGTAGATCGTATGGTCAGGTGCAATCTTCGTGTAACGTGAAATCGAAGGCTTTTTCAAATAACTAACCTTTTGCGTTCTATTTATGCTATTTGCATATTGATGCATCTTTGATAAAATTTGTAGATTGCTGCATGCCAATTGTTCGATTGCAAACGATTGTACGTAATTGTAGCGATTTCTCAGCAACTACCTGATAAAATCGATGATTTTTTTTTTTTTTTGAATTTATGTATCTGTAGAATTCAAATTACAAAAAATTCATCGAATTTGATCTGGTAGTTGCTGAGATATCATCGCTCGAAGTGTTTTTTATTTAAAATATATGCTGCGCCAAATTTTTTCTAGAACTTTAGGCGAAGAATCTCTGCAACTATTAGATCAAAATCAATGTTTTTTTATTATTTGTGTTTATTAACCATAGAATTCTAATAAAAAACAAATCTTCAACGAAATAGATCAGGTGGCTGTTGAAATGTCTTCGCTCAAAGTCTTTTTTTTTAAAAAAAAACCAAATCGATTATAGTACAAGAGTGAAAATGTAGTAATTTCATGAGTTTTCATTTATTTGAGCCAAATTTTTACAGAGCAAAATTTTAATATATTTTCTATAAATCTTGTTATTGCACAATAATCACTTTAGACTAAACTTTCAAAATCAAGGTGGTACCATGAATTTTCATCAAAATGTGTCAATTTTTCCTAAAACTTTATGCAAAGATGTCTTAGCAACCATCTGATCAAATTCAATGAAATTCATTTGAATTCGATAGATCAATAGAATTCAAATAAAAAAAATTTTCATAGAATTTCATCAGGTGGTTGCTGAGACATCTTCACTTCACACAAAGTTTTGACATAACCTCTAATTAATAAATATTTAACTATTTAAAAAATTTTTGAGCAAAGATTTCAGAACCACCTAATCAAATTTGATAAAATTTTATTATTTGAATTCTATGGATCTATAGAATTTAAGTAAAAATTTTTTATTGAATTAGATTAGATGGTTGTTGAGATATCTTTGCAGTTTTAGTAAAAAATTTAGTGCAACTTTTATTTTGATAAAAATTCATGGCTCTTACCTTGATTTTGAAAAGTTTGGTCTAGAGTCATTACTGCGCAATAATAAGACTTTAGAAAAAATATTAAAATCTTATTTGTAAAATTTTAGCTCAAATAAACAAAAATTCATAGAGTTACAGTGCTTTACAAAGTTTTTTTTTGCATCTGTAATTTTTGATAAATTATGTGTAGACACATGAAATTTTATTTACATATAGTACATTATATATGCAGATTGTATTAAAGCTCTTTGGGCAGGTTTGATAGTAAAAATATCTGCACTGATTATGTATAAAATTTTAGCTAAAAAAATGCTTCTTTGTTTGTATAAATGATATGAAATCATTTTTTAAGCATTTACTTAAAAGGTTCTAAGCTCTAAATATATGAGATGGCAAAGCAGGTTCATTGTAATGAAAGTATGGTTGTTATTAGATCAGAAGGTGACAAACCAAGGTTGGATTATAAAAAAGTTACTATTAAAAATAAGACAAATAGATTTTGGAGTTGTTAAAAGAAAATAAAAATATTACAGCCCCAAAAATCTGTTATGAGTTAATAAAACAGAATGTTGAGATTAATGTGTAAATAATTAAGTAATATTTTGGTAATGGTGGAGTCATTATTATAGAAAGTTCACAAAGCCTTTGCTTTAAAAGAAGTATTGAAAAAATGTTTTTCATAAACAGAGAAGCATAAGGATTTTAACTAAAATTCTGTAATATTTATAGAAGAAAGTGTCTTTTACTTGAATCAACAGTAATAAAACTTGACAGTTCTCTAAAAGAAGAAAATTAACTCATTCTGTTAAGCATTCATTGAAGATCTATATATGAGCTTATTTTTTTTCTTTAAGATTTAGCAGGTAGTCTACTTTATATATAATCTTAACACACAATATATAATTGCTTTGTATGAAACAAGCATTCTATCTTCTGTTATAGACCATTTTGACAAAAGTTGTGCTAATTTGATCTAACAGAAGAACAATAATCTAAAGATTGTTTGAAAATTATAAAGACATAGAAAGAAGATCATAATGTTCAAGTTTTTTTCTTGCTATTAATCTCACCTAACCAAAACCAATTGAGAATGTTTGGAGATTTATAAAAATAAATCTGACAAAATATAAAATTAGAAAACTTAGTACTTTAAAAGCTAAAATAACAAAGAAATAAAATCATTTGCCTAAAGAATATGCAAAAAATTTAATTAACAGTATGAGAAGTTGTATAAAAGCTTTGATTAAGGTTAAGAACAATTATACAATGCATTGATTTTTCTTGTAATGCAATATAATTTAAATAAATAAATTTTTTCTCTAGCTTATCTCATTCTAAGTTAGAGGTGCAAGGAAACTTTGTTAGGCACTATATTATATTTTTATATGCAATTTGTTTTTTTTAAAAAAGAACTTTGAGTAAAGATATTTTAACAATCACCTGATTAAATTTGATAAAATTTTTTATTTAAATTCTATAGATTAATAGAATATAAATAAAAAAATTAATCAAATCTGATCTGATAGTTGATAAAATACTTTACCCAAAGTTCTATAAAAAAATTAGTATAACTATTTGTATAATATTTTTAAAAAATGTTTTCTAATCAAATTGGTTCTAATACAAAATTTTAATATTCAAAATCTTGACAAATCATAATTCTGATATCACATGATATGACAATTAAAATTTAATGATTATTAATCTTTAAATATTAATTATTACATTTGGATTAAAGTTTCAAAATTTTGATATTGAGACTTCATCCCAATATTGTATTAAACACAACTTTATATTCAATAGGAGGGGATAAGTAATGATTATAATTAGAAAATCAATATATATCAATGGCAAATAATTAATTATAATTGACAGGAGGTATACATCAATTTGTAATAATATCAATTATAATCTATTATAGATATATAATGATTATTATCAATTATAATCAATAAAATAAAAAATCGATTAATATCAATAGTTTAAAATTTTGATATTTTTAGCAAAACTTTGAAGATAAATATCTTAATAACTAGTAATCCAAATCAGTCTAAATTTTTACCACAATTAGATATGATATTCATCTATAAAGTACTAAAGTTTTATTTGATTTGGCTTAGTAGTTCTCAAGAAATTGCTTGTATACTATAGTCAAATTTTTTAAAAATATTGACTATTTATACAAGCGATTTCTCAAGAACTACCAAAAGAAACTTTAATACTTTATAGAGAATATCATATCTAATTGTGGTAAAAATTTAGGCTGATTTGGATCACTAGTTATTGAGATATTCATCTTCAAAATTTTACTAAAAATATTAAATTTTTTAAATTATCAATATTAATAGATTTTTTACTCTATCGATTATAATCAATAATAATCATTATATATCAATTAAATTACCCAAATATGCATCAATGCAAAGCACTTAAAAAATTTTCTTGATGTTAATTAAATACTAATATAAAAAATGCTTAATTCTTATATTTATAAAATATTTAAAATTTTAAATATCAGTTTTGTATACTAATTTTAGACATAGTAGTAATCAAATTTGGATATTATAGCAATTAGATTCAAAACATTGTAGCAATCAAATTTGAACATTGTGGCAATCAAATTCAGATATTGTAGCAATCAAATTTAGAAATAGTAGTAATCAAATTCTTATATCTTAATAATCAAATTTGAATAGCAATATCTTATTATATCGCTGATCATCAAAACACAAATTTTTCGAAATACAAAAATTAATAAAAACTACGAAAGACACCAAAAGCTATTAAGA